TTATTATTATTATTATTAATTTATTATATATTATAATTTATAAAATTTAATTTTTTAAATATCATAAATTTTTTATATATAATTATTTTAAATTATTTTATATTTCAAACAATGAAGATTCGAACACGAACGAACGCATCATTGCTCGTGTTTGTTTCATTCAACTAACCGAACGAAAAAAAATTTGTTCATGTTCGTCTCGTCTACTTATCGAACTAATCGAACACAAACTCATTGACGAACCGAACACGAACTATTCGCGAACAACGAGCTTTTTTGACAGCCCTACTTCCACGACGGTAAATAAACCAATGCATTTCATAAGTAACTCAAATTAGGCTCAATTAAAATTAGACTATATTCTTTTAAATTATTAAATAAATATGTTTAAATGTTTTTCAAATACTCCAAGCTTATATGAACTAAACATAAACATAGTCAAACTTATTTATTTCTGTTCATAAAAAAACTCACTTGTTGTTCAACAAGTAACTTGTTAAATACTGAATCATATAATATTGTGATTTGTTATTTAAATAAAATTTGATTAACTAAAATTTATTTAATTATAGAATTAATAGTAAAATATTATTATATCATTAATATTTATCATTTATCAATAATATCTTTTTAATCCTGGTGTCTTGTCGGTTCTCCATGGTTGATTTGGTTGTGCAATTTTATAAAGAAGCAAAATTTCAATCACATGATATGGTGCAAAATTTTTTGTTCATTCTCTTATATTATATTTAATCTGGATGACTTTGATTTTTCTCAATTATGTTTATAATTGATGAGAAGTTTTGTGTTTATGAGTTATTTTTGTACTACTAGTTCCTTGAGATCTTTTTGCTCTTATTTCCATGCTTATTCTCTATCTTGGAAATAAGTCTTATGAGAACATATTTATTAGAGACATTAGCTGACATCATATGGATTAGTTCAACTATTTATATGGTTTATTAAATTGTGTATTTATTCATTCATAAAATAATTTATTAAATTTGTTATATGAAAATTTGAATATTTGTTTAAATTTTTAGCTCGTTTAAATACTCGCTCGCTTGTCATAAACAAATCAAGTTACAAGTATTGAATAATTTAGAAAAGTCAAGTTTGAATAACATTTGAAAGCTCGACACAAGTTCAAACACTATGTACAATTGCACCAAATCAAGCCCAATATATGATATAGTCGGCTCGACTCAACTCGATTACAACCCCATAGGAAAAGGTCCTTTAAAAGCCACCAGCAAATAAACAGCGTCATAAACTGATGGTGTCTTAAACCATTTACGAAAGCATAGCGCGTTTTGGACAATTTAAGCGGAAAATACATTGCTCTTTGCTACCTGAAACGACAAAGAAATGTCCTTTCAGAAAGTGAGTCTGCTCTTTGGCATTCTCTACAACATTTTGTACTCAATTTCTTACCTTCAAAGAATAAACACAAAGATAAAATTACAAAAAAAAAAATTGAAAAAGATAACCCTGAAGAACAATATATGCTATTTGAAACCCGCAGCAGTGCTGCCCCACAAAAACAATTACAAATGGCATATATAATGCCGTGTATTCGATCCAGACTAATGTGAAGAATTTTTTAAATAGAAAATTTTCTATTTTCAACCTACTTCAATCAAATCAATAACTATCTGAAAATGATGTTTCATGATATTCTATTAATTATATTGAATATTAAAAAAAAAAACGCATCGAATTTAGAATATTTAAATGTATTATTTATTTAGTTTTTATAACATCAATTACAAAGTAAGAATCTCAGAAATTTAAACGTTTTTTCGGAGTAACCAAAAAAATATAATAATAAATATGATTTGAGGATTTCATATATAAAAATCCCAACAAAAAAAAAAAAAAAATCTGAGTCTTCATCGTGATTCACCGTTGTCACCCCCCAAAAGAGCTTTTTCGAGTGGTAGGCAGCCCAAGACTTAAATATTATTTTTTAGCCCTACCTAACCGATGTGGGACTTTTTGTGTGTGATATTCTCATCTACCCAATCACGTGACACCCTCGTTAAGGATCATCTTCTCCGAAGATCCCATTGGACCATGGAGAGTTCACACACTTGACAGACAGTAATATGATATGATACCACTTGTCACATTCTAAAAGAGTTCTTCGAGATTGTGGGTAGCCCATGACTTAAATAATATTTTTTGGCCCTATACCTAATCGATGTGAGACTGAGTATGCTCTTAAATTTATTTCCTCAAATTAAAATAATAATAATAATAATAATTAGGGATTTTCGACACCCCATTTTACATATCATGCTTCCCAAACAATAAAATTAAGCGGGGAGGACAATGTTACGACCGGCGTCCCACCTCCGCCTACTTTCTTCTGTAGACGGCCTACTCCCTTCGCCGGAGATTCGACCGGCAGGCAGCTCGGTTGCACAGCAGGATTGTGTTATGGGGACCATGGTTGAGGCCATTGCCTTAGGCGAGCCGCCATTTCAGCGAGTAAGACGGCGCTCTCGAATCTCTTTGCAACCATATCTACCTATGCATGCACTGAATGCTCATATCCATTGCCGGAGCTTCGATCAGCTGGTGGAAGGAGAAGACGGACCGGGAGGCCGTTGTAACAGTGTCCTGCACGCGAAATTTTACTGTTTCAGAGCCGCGGATTTGTAAAATGGGATGTTTCTTAGCCGTGGTATGTAAAAACCCCAAAAAAAAAAATGAAGTATGATCTCCAAATAACAACGGCGGAACAGCTACCAACAGTCACATCGCCGCCGAGGCGGCGATCAATGTCACCGTGGAGCAAGAGAGACCGAGAAGTCCGCCGGAACCCTAACCCTCTCAGACCAATCCTTGGATTTGAGGAAGAGCTTAGAGACCTTACCCTGCACCCAAATCATACTCGGCCTCCTCTCCGCCTCCACATCCACGCACCGCAGAGCAATCCCCATCAGCCTCTCCACCACCTCAACCGGAAATGAATCCTTCAACCTTCTATCCACCCATTGTCGAATCCTCATCCTCCTCCCTTCCACCATATCCAACTCCTCCGCCCCTGATTGCATCCCTTCTTTATCCAATCCCGCTTCTCCGAACACCTCCCTAGCCATCTCAATTAGCGAGATACTTCGATACTCCTTGCTTACCTGATCAAACTTAAACTTGACTGGAACCTCTCCAGAGATCAGCTCCAGGAGCAAAACGCCCAATGCAAACACGTCGGATCTCCGGGACACCGCACCGCCAGCGACCACCTCCGGCGCCAGGTACCCCCTCGTCCCTTCGATCTTTTTCCCACCGCTATCCGATCTATTTAGCTTGCCAAGCGAGGCGGAAGCTTCTTCGGGTACATCTCCGGCTAGAAAAGCAGCGCCGAAATGACAAATCATGGCGTTAAAGTGAGGCTCGGTGACGATGATCGCGGAGCTCTTGATGCGGTTATGGACAATTCCACCTCCAGCGGAGTGGTGGTGGATGTACTCGAGGCCTTGAGCAAGGTCGCTGGCAACCTGTACGCGGGACATCCAGGAGGAAAGCGGGGTAAAGTTAGGGTTTCGTGGGTTGCGAAGGCAATCCGACAGGGATGCCCCGGTTACGAAATCGTAAACGAGGTATATACGGTCGGCGGAGAGGGAAGCTCCTAAGAGTCTGACGATGCTGCGGTGATGGCTCTTGCAGACAGCGGCAAGGCTGGCGGGGAAAGCGTTGGGATCACCGCGAAAGGAGCGCTGCAAGACGACGGTGTCACGGCCATGTAGGGAACATCGCCAGGAGGAGGAGGAGGAGGATATGCGCTTGGCGAGAAAATTGTTGGTGGCGGAAGCTATTTCGGCGGGAGAGAAAATAATGGGTTTTTCGGGGAGGGAGCCACGGAGGCTGGCGATGGATGATGCGCTCCACGATGAGGAGGAGGAGGTTGTGGCTGCTGCGGCGGCGCTTGAGTTATTGGTGGTGGTGGGTAAGCTGGTGGTTAAGGAGGTGGAGGGGATGGCGTCGGAAGAACGGGATCTTGTGGAGCGAGCGGCTAAGCGATGCGTGGGGTGGGAAGCGAGGGCGTCGCCTCGTCTCCCGCACATGGGGGTGCCTTGTGCCAATGGGAGAAGAAGAAGAACCTTTCGAAGCTAAAATACACAGGCGTCTGAGAGAATATGCCAGGCTTTTTTATTATTGTGATTTGGGGAAGAAATGGATTGGAAAGATGATGAGATTTGGTTCGAAGAAGTGGCGCTGCGGATGGAAAGCGGAAACCAGAAAGGAAGAAAAGTAGAAAACAGTGTGTGGATGGTTGCTTAACGAATTTGAGTTCTTTTTTTATTTTTAGCAACATTTCTCGACTTTATTTTTGTTTACAGTGTATTTTTTTTTTAATGGAAAAATTTACATATATGCAACTCAATTCCTATGTATCTATAAATCTAATACCAATACTTCAATTTTTACATGTATACCACATTGTATGTGCATGATAAAGCGGATTTCATTTTCTAAAGTTAAAATGATGCTTATTTTTTAGTGATATGAAAAATTTGGGTGATATAAATGTAAAAAAGTAAAATTTAGGTGTGAGATATGTAAATACATAGGAATTGGGTGGTATGCTTGGAGATATGTAAATACAGAATTGGGTGGTATGCTTGTAAATGCCTCTTTTTTATTTATTTTATGATTTTTTTTTTAAATTTATAATGTATTTTGGTACAATATCTAAAAATAGTATTTTTTGTATATATCTTTAAAAAAATCATGGTATCTAATTTAAATTTTAGCTTAAGCGTTTACAGTAAAACCTTTTTTTAATCCGATGCAGGAGTTCAAACAGGGTTACAAGTAACTTGATAAGATGAATTCAATTAAGATGTTGACTTAGTTATGATATCATTACAGTACTTAAATGTCTTGAAACATCATACGCTCATGGGAGGCATTATTTTGAATCAGCTGACGAAATTATTGTAATTTTGGCATAATGTATCAAATTGCCAAAAATAAAATCCGTTAATATGCCTAAAGGTTCATGTTTGTTAAGTTGATCAATATTTGATTGCCTAAAATAATAACCCTTGTAAACTATACATTAATGTTGAATTTTTTGTGGTCGTAGGGTCTCATATCGTTTGTGGGTCTATACATCCCGGGAGAGAGCTTATTTCAGAAGATAATTGAAGGGAAAAATGGAGTTGAAGCCTCCTCCTCCAAACCTTAATTCTTGGCCTGTGGTGAAAGATAGAACCAAGGAGGAGAGAGAGAGGTTTTGCCCTAGTGGGAGGAGCCCGAACTTGTATATCTATCTCTCTAGCCCTCTTTTTACCCCTAAAGTAGGAGAAGAAAATAGAGTTAATCAAATGTAGACCGTATGTGTACATAAAAAATATTTTAACACGAATCTCAAAGAAACCTAACAGCCATTAGAGAAGATGATGTGGTTGTCTGGGCCCCACAATGGGTAGTTTGAGAGTCCGCATTTACCCGCATGGCTCCTACTGTCTGGGAGAAAAATAACCCCCACGACGAACGAAAATTGATTATTCTCTCAAAGAGCCACTGATACTAACCTTGCGAGGATGAATTCTCCAAGATTACCAGCCCGGGAGGATGATCTCGAATCTTAGGCAGGCAGCCCACACCTCCCGGTCAACCCTTCAATCATAGCCGTCTAGATCATGACCGGACCGGACGCCATCTCAGATTCCCGACACATAGCCGCTCGGATCATGACTAGTTCGAACACCATTTTAGGTTCCCGAACATACAAATGTGTATTGTCCGAAATAACCCTTATTGTACCTACTTTACTAGGGATACATAATTAATCTTACAATCCCCACTTATATAAATAGGGGCACATTTCGTGAATAAAGATTACATAATTTTACTGTTCATTAATGTGATCTCTATGCTCTTTTTCTCTCTTTTGCACTCTATTCCTTAAGTGTGTCTCTAAGACATATTTGGATTCAACATCCTAAAAGGTGTGATGAGTGTGGAGTCATGTTGTCGATAAGAAGAGGAGCGCATCAACAACAACATCAAGAGGAAAATCGCCAAAGGGACGTGGCTAATGCAAAATGTACGGGAGAGTTCAAGGAAGGAGTCATGCAGCGAGAAATACATGAAATGAGGACCCAAAGGATGAACCAGACGTCAGGCCAGATCGCGAAAGTCTCGAGGGCTGTCACGACCCTAGAAGGTGAGCGGGCTTCTTGAGGTTTTGCCCTATCAAGCACTAACGATGAGAGTCAGAACCATTCTCTGAGACACGAGGAAGCATTGTAAGTACCATCGGGATCACGACTAGGGGTGTAAATGAGTCGAGTCAAGCTCAAGCCACCCTCGGCTTGAGAGTTGTGCTTGAGCTTGATTAATTTTATCGAGCTCGAGCTCAAGCTCTAGCTTAGTTCTACAGGTTTAAGCCAGCTCGCGAGTCGTCTTGTTTAGTATAAATGAGAGAAAATGATATTAGCTTATGTTAGATTTATAATAAGATGTCAATTAAAATGAATAATTAGGAGATAAATAATAAGAAATCACCCAAGATACAATACTAAATAATATTTTTTAAACAATTTTATTACCTTAAATAGAAAATCTTAAAATTTTATATATTTTGGTTATATTTTATATCATTTTTTTTTAAACTAGTCGGCTCATAAGCTACCGAGCCGAGTCGGGGCTAGCTTAAGCTTGGCTTATTAGCTCATCGATCTTCGTTCTTGAGCCACTTATCGAGCCGCGCTCGAGCCGGCTTGAATCACTTAGACCTTTAATCACAACCACGATACAGAAGAATGCAGACACCTCCGAAACCTGATTGATGAGCTAATCAAGGGTGGAAAGCTGAAGGAATTTGTGGCTACGAGGACCTCGGGCCAGAGGCACGGTAAGGCTCCGACAATAGAAGTCCCGGACAGACTTGTTCGGACGAAAGCTGTCCACCTCGTTGGGATATTCTCGATTATTTTTTTAAGGAACAAAATCATTCCGACAAACCTCACAGAAGAGTTCTAAGATGGGAGAGCTAGCATCGCGTCCATGTAAAGAAGGGACATTGAACCCCCGCCCCATGATGATTTTCCCCTTAGAGTAAATCCCTACAATGAAGCCATCATTGTAACAGGGATAATAAGCAATTTTTAGGTCCGGAGTTTCTTGATCATGTCCCGCTCGGATTTTATTTCAGGCTCCCGACCATAAACTATGTATTGTCCAAAATACCCTCTTCTGTAACTAATTTATTAGGGGTACATAATGTAATCTTACAACCCTCTCTCCTATAAATAGGAGTTCATTTCATAAATAAAGGTTACACAATTTTATTATTTAGTACTCTCTCTACTCGTTTCCTCTCTTTCGCACTCTATTCCTTATGTGTATCTTCCGAACAGATTTGGATTCAACAATATGAAGTAGGGCTTGTCCATGATATCCTCATGAGAAGATGGACACATGGATGTCATGAGAATCTTCAATAGACATAGGCGTATGTCTATCCTAGGGTGGGGTCCTTTGTGCCAACGATTCACAAATCTCAGAGAGCAACTGTTGGGAGCTCAGTAGGTCACTTTGGTAAATGAGTAGGAGGATCTTAAAATATTTGCTTAATAACTTAGTAGTCGAAAAGCCTCACTTGATATAGTATCTCCTTCTCTCACTTCTTGGATTTCTGTTTGATCACCTACAAAGTTTTGTGCATCATCACCATTGCTAAATGGTCAATTTGTCAAAGAAAGATCATAACTATCATGAGCATCGACTAGGACATATTGTGTGAGTTCTTCAATGAAGTTGAGATTGGTATAAGCTTAATGCTTGAAATATTTCTAGAGCCAAAATCATGCTATGCTATCGGCAAGAACATGTTAGCAAATCACATGAAATATAAGTACAAAAATATTGAGTTCGAATGAGCCAATCACAAGCTAGTGGAGCTCAAACAATTTGAACATAAATATTTTACATAAGTACAATTTTGAACGTGGGCAAACTTCAAACAACATGAAAATCGTACAAGCCAAGCGTTGGCATCAATTTTTGATGTTTCGAGTACAGGGTGTCCACCTGCTTGACTCGGGATAGTCTACGGTCTGTCCGTAGCGTCTGATAGTTCAAACACCTACCCGAGACTTTTTTGACGCTTGTTGAGGGGCACATAGTCGGGGTCATTTTGCTAGGCTATGACTTTCTCTTAATTGAATGCCGGTCGACATTTAGCACGTCGGACGATTCCGACCAAGGCGAAAAATATTATGTGGCGCGTCGGGCGCGATTTTGGCTTGAATTGACCCAATCATCAGCAAGGTTGTCCAGATGACCCCGGACGAAGAAAAAGACTGTGTGATCACGTCCGGAACATCGATTTTAGCCAAGAAGGACATCCACTTTGCCGTGATGAGGTGTCCGGGCGAAAAAATGCGCGGAGGATAATAATGATAATATAATAATATTATTATTATAATATTATTATAATATTAAAATAATAATAATAATAATAATAATAAGTATATGTTTTCCCTCTCTCCCTTATCATCTCACGCGCACAACTTCCTCTCCCCCGACTCTAACACACGCGAACCCTAGCCGTCACGCCGCCCTTCCACCTCCTCGCCGGCGCCCTACGCTCCTGCTCCGGTCACGCGCCTGAAGTTCGTCGGTTGATGCCGTCACCATCGTACGTCGCTTTCCCGACGCTCCCAACAGTGTATTCTTCTTTTCTCGGCTAGCCATATGCCGAGATCTCCCCATCCCGCCGGCATCTTTGTCGGCGTGTTTCTCGGCCGCCGGACATCCTCCACTCGTCGGAGCCTCCTTCAGCCGCGGAGATCCATCGTTTGCAGCTGACCGCCACTCATTTTTGGAGGTTGCCTTATTTCCGGTCGGCACTTTTTGCTTCTTCCTTTCACTGGCCTAACTCGACGGTCTTCTTCCTTGCCGGCCTATGGCATGTTTCTTGGCTCCTTCATCGTCGATCCACCTCAACGACTAACACCTCCTCCTCGCTGACTTACCTTGTTGATGACCTTGCTATCTCTCACTTGTCGTAACAGCGCCACTGGCATCGCGAAAACGGCGAAGCGGTGCATATTCCGTCCAACCTCCTCTTGAAGGTACATATCGATCGTATTTTCAAATAATTTGATGTTTGTTTATTTTTTTTTAAAAATCTTTGCATACCTCACTGACTCGTGACCTCATTGTGTCTTTTTGTTGTCCTGTACACATTCTACGAGATACACTGGAGCACAGACTGGATGTCAACGGCTTGGAGCAAGCAAAGAAAACACGTATGAAACCGTCA